AAACGAGTGCTAGGTCAGAGTGGCAGCTCAATAGATGAAGTATTGAAACTTCATCAGTTGAGATGGTGGGGACATGTGTTACGAATGCCCAACCACCGACTGCCTCGACGAACTACGTTTTGTGGTGTAGGAGTAGGTTGGAAGAAAGTTATGGGCGGCCAAACCAAAACATGGCACAAATCCATGAAGTAACTGACAAGTGGACTGAGCCATATTGACAGAAGTGTACTACTTTTTTGGGATCCGTGATTTGTTAGTGATCGATGTTTAGAGAGTGAATGACATGTCTCGAAACCGTTTGAATGGTGCTGGTGCATCCATTGTTTAACTTCTCTCAAACTCTAATGCTCTGGATTCTACACCACGTCTATCTATATCCTTTTTAGTATATTTCACTAGATTCTAACACTTGACTGATATCTTTAGACCATGATCTCTCCGATTACGGTTAATACTTCCACTTCCTTTACTATTGTGGGAGTTGAACTGACCGTTGCATCTCTCTTTTAATGTGGTATGGCAGCTTGAACCAATGTTCGTCCGTACGACTTCTACGTTGTGACTGACTGACTTGACCTCTGTCATTTAGATCTCTTGTTTTCATTCAGCTCTCCTTACTTTGTTTGAACAGATGGGTAGGTTCATTGGACCTTCGAAGATGTTTTGGCTTGAAGGTTGATACATAAGTTCTTAATCCTTAAACGATTTGCATTATTTATTTGTAAAGCACATCCATTTTTCATCTCCAGGTTCATGTTCATTTTTGTAATTGGAGTTCTCGATATGATTCGTGGTATCCGATAAATTCGAAATGTTTACGCTCTGTTAAAAAAGATTTCACAAAAGATACTCCAAAACTGATAAAACCTAACACTTTTAGCTATTCGATGGAGAAAAGTCCAGAAACCAGTGATACCCATTATGAGGTGGGTAGTTACGTAATGGCTGCATGGCGCAACGACTTCGAATATCTTGCTGAGGTTCTAGCCCATCGTCAGCGACATGGTACAAGAGCAGAGTATCGCCTACGTTATATTTGGGATCGCGTTGTAGAATGGACACCCGTCAGCAAGTTACGCAAAGCAACTCAGTACGAAATCAATAATGTTTTAAAATTCTGTAAAGAGCAAGGTACACTATCAACAAATAAAATCCCTAGTAAATTTGATCTGCAGTATTCATGTAGTAGTAGCAATGATTCTGCATCGGGGACATCTCAAGCTAAAAGAATAAGGACAACTATGTCAGAAAGCAAGTCATTAGACCGCACTTCGGATCCTGAAACACATCGCTATCGGTCACGTCCTACTCGTGTAAGTACAAGTGGTTTCTCTGCCTTAGAAGACAAAAAGACTCTTCTTCCAACATTTGATGGAATCATCGAACAGGATAAAATGATTTGTGAAAAGAGTGTTTTTCAGTTTCACGAAGCGTTTAAAAGACGTCGTGAATTGAAGAGAAAAGCTATCGACGAGAACGACACATGTCCATATGGATTCGACAGTTTTGTATCTGTCCTGAGTCAAACATACACCATTAGGGCAAACCATCAGAACAGGCGTGGTCTTAATTCGCAACATAATTCTATAAGAACCGAAAATCAAACAGCGGAAGATGCAGTTGCATACCCACTTGTATCGTCGATTTCATCTTACCAGAAAAGTGATGAAATAGTAAGTCTAATTTTTGTAATATAAATTCTAGCAAGTGTTTTTAAGTCTTTGAAACTGAGATACACAGTAGCTGGGACAAAATTCCGAAATATCCATAAATCTTAGACCTTGTGATTTGATTTATGTAACAGTTTAAAGGCACCAGAAAAAGTTTATTAATTGTGTTTGGTTACTGAACTTTGTTCATGCGTCATTATATATATATATATATATATATATATATATATATATATTTATATATATATATATATATATATATATATCAGGAACAACTCGAAAAACAACGCCTGTAGACCCTTCGGGGTTGCTGCCGGTCCCAAGCCAGGGTAAAGGAGGAGGGTTGCGCATGAGGTTGACGACCCCATCCCACAAAAAAACTAACTCGCTAAAAAACGCTAACAAGAATAATTAATTCAAACCATATAAACTCCGCTCTGAGAGTTAGAAAGTCGTCATTTAGAAGAGTTATGACGTCTAGGGAAGTGACAACCTCAATATTGGCCTCAATAATACTTCGGCCCCTAACGAAAGCTCGTGAAGAGCGAACTCGAGAACCATGCTAATTTTTCGAGCTGGACGTGGCTGTATAAACCACATTTTCACACCACGATAGGTCCTGGAACACAGGCACACATTTAGACGTCCGACAATAGTCGAGTTCCTAGAACTAAAAGCGGCATTTGACTCAGTGGATCGTGAGGTTGTGTGGCAGTGTCTGTCATTGAAAGGTGTACCAAAGAAGTACATTAACCTTATACAAGCACTCTCTCTACTCGAACACCACTGGTCGAGTGAGAGCCTATGGCGAACTGTCATCGGAATTCTTTACTTCAAGTGGTGTCCGTCAGGGGTGTCCACTCTCTCCATTCTTGTTTAATTTTATCATAGACAGGATCCAAGATATAACTTTTCAGGAGTAGACCTTCTTTCAGGTGGCTCGCTTATTCACTTAGAATATGCCAATGACATAGTCCTACTTGGTGAAGAAGCTGACAAAATGCAGTCTTCTGACTACCCTAAGCAACAATGCGAGTATGTTCGGTATGCGGTTTTCCCCTCGAAATGCAAAATGTTGCTTCAAGATTGGCTTGTGTCGGCACCTGAACTAGTGATAGGGAGTGAAGTAGTCGAACGTGTAGACCGCCTCACATATCTGGTGACTGACGAAACCTCTGCACAGATACAGAAGTCTCGATTGGCTTTTGCCAAGTTGCGTCACTTATGGCGTAGGCGAGATATCCGTTTGCTGACTAAAGGACGAGTGTACTGTGCAGTAGTTCGCTCCGTCTTACTTTATGGCTGTGAAACATGGCCAGTAAGAGTAGAAGATACTAGTAGGTATCTTGTTTTCGATCATAGATATCTTCGAAGCATTGCTTGTGTCTTGTGGGGCAACCGAGTAAGTAATGCTGCCATTAGGAAACGGGTGCTAGGTAAGGATGGCAGATCAATAGATGAAGTAGTGAAACTTCATCAGTTGAGGTGGTTGGGACATGTGCTGCGTATGCCCAACCATCAACTGCCTCGTCGAGCTTTGGTTTGTAGTGTAGGAATAGGTTGGAAGAAAGTTAGGGGCGGCCAAATCAAAACACGGCACAAATCCATGAAGTCATTGACTAGTGGACTGAGTCGTGTAAGTAGATAGATGTAGGCTACCTGGTTGGGGTTCGCGAGATGATAATAATCGATGGTTAGAGACCTTGAATGACAGGGCTCAAAATCGTTCGCAATGGCGCCGGTGCATTTATGCTTTGTGTTCTCTCAAATCCTAATCTCCTGGGTTCTTCGATAACTCTAGTTTTGATTTTCTAAACTTTTCTCATTAAATCATACTTCTTGAATAATATCTTCTAATCCTAACCTCTCCGATTACTCCTAATACCTTTACTACCTCTTCTACTATTGGATTTGAATTGACAAATACATCTCTGTGCTGATGTGGTATGGCGACATGAACTGATGTACTTACGTGCGAAGTTCTACGTTGCATCTGACTGACTGACATACATCAATCACCTGAGATTCCAGAGTTCTAGCTAATGAAGCCTATTGTCCTATTTGGCATTGAGTTCGAACATTAAAAGCTCCAACTTGTAGTTTACAACGGGGCTTCAAGACACCAGGAATGACGTTTCGGGAACTCGAATCGTTTGCAGCAGAGGTGCAGGGTGATGAAGGAATGTGAGAAGAGTTAGTCGTGAAGATAAGGGGGATGTTAGGGGGTGAATTAAGGATTTGTTTGTGAACAATTTGATCTCGTGTGTTGTCACGGGTATGAGGGAGTTTGTCACTTCCCGACTGCCCACACCGTGGAAGTTTGTTTCTTGAGGAACCTTAAAAGAAAGGTAGATTAGTGTTGATCTTGGAGACCTCGGAGCGTATGTATGTGTGTATTTAAAACAAATTTTTCTCATCCTAAACCTACCATGATTACACTGCTTTGTTATCTAGGGTAATGAGATCCACACTATTTTATCTTTTTCTCTCACGTTTCATTTTCCGAGTTGACCTTCTACCTTTTTTATATGTTTTTAACAAGTATATGTGTGACCAGATTTTTCAAAATGTATTTCGCTAGTATATCAATCGCATAGTTCCAATAATCTTCGCCTTTTAAATTATGGGGATTGTTTTTTTGATTGAAATCACGAGTCGACTAATGTTAGATCACCATTAAAAACCTCGAAGCAGTAGACGGTCTTTTCGTCCAAGTAGGCATCCACGACCACACGCGCACGAACGCTTAACATCTTGACCCAAAGGTGTTAATTTCTAACTTCAATAAATCCACGGGATTGTTCACTGCTGATAAGTCCCAACTGAAACGAAACGGCTGTCCAGTGTTTCCAAGTTTCTAATGGTGCTCTAACATTAGTCGATTCATGATTTCAATGAAAATCCTCGTCTTGTTATTAAGTCATCCAAATAAGTCAGAAAAAAAACTGGGATTTACAGACTGAAAACTTAAAAGTGATGCCTTTTAAATTAACAACATCGATCTAGAACTTTGTAAGCTAAGCTCTACCGCACTAAATCCAAAAAGTACATGATGACGTCGAGTGATTTAGTTGAATGCTTAATGTACTGTATAATATATAGTATATGACCAGCTTTTTTACACAGAAGAGAATATATGTCCTGAAAATAGCGACGACTAAAGCACAGCAAGTAGTTAGTAAAGCATAGTGACTAACTAGGATGACAGTTGTATTAACGACAAAATCACAATATTTTAGTGCTTAAGAGAAAAATACAGCGCATACGCTAAAGTTAATAATCTCAATAAGATATTGATGGTAAAAAATTGTTCAAAAGAGACAAGCTTACGATTAACTTGGTCTTCAGGAGTATGTACAACCGAGGCTGTATGTTTGGTACTTTCAGTAAACTTCGAAGTTGGAAATTCACTTGATCTGGATGCGTCTCGACAGACATTCTTGATGCTAGAATTTTGCTTTAATTGATCAGAAACAGAGGGCAACTTTGACCTATTCAATATATGCCATCCAGAAGCTAATAATGGACGTAACTGACAGGTTTTATTCAAAATAGACGATAGATCAATTAACAAACCTCGTTTTGAAAACTCGAAGTTAAGATTATGTGTTTGTAGTAATTCCGTTCGCCATTCATTTTTGCGAGATTTCCTAACTGAACGTAGAACCATCCGACAACTATTACAAACAACAGATGAATAAAGTTTATTCCCACTCAAAAAGTCTACATCCGAGAGTGATTTCTGGTCAGATGAAGTACCACCGCACAAACGATGAAACCAACATAAACAATGCGAACATTGAATAAGATCAAGTTCTTTTTCTGTGGCATATGTTCGCAAATCGCAATAGTGACAAGAAAGAAGTCGGGTGAATTCAGGAGCGCTTGTTGTATTAGAATGCGATTCACTAAAAATAGAAATGCATGTTAAGTCTAAAAAATTATAGTCACAATGACAAGAAAACTAGGATCTTATTCATATAAATAAATAAAAACGAACCTGAACTAAGTTAAATTAGTCTTGAAATAAGTGCATATAGTTCGGATTTACAACACGACTAAATAATGGGGTTTGAAAAGATAAAAGTGCAAGTATTAAAAACATAAAGGGATTGTAGATTGTACTTAACTATCTAAGTAATTATTTTCAACAACATAACTCAACCTGGGAACTAACTATTTTGAAATACAGAATAGGATTCAGAGACTTTAAACTCTGTCGGCGAGCGGCGCACTTAAAATTGTATTTTTTCCATTCCTCATTAAGTTTGGTAATGTCATGAATGAATATTGTTGAAAGAAGTAAGCAATGGATAACTAATACAAATCTTTTGAATGATAAATACGCGATAGATCCCTTAGTTATGCGGAACATTGTATCGAAACATTATACTTAAAGGCAGTGGCTAAGACAAGTTTTTAAAGGTGTTCTAGGGCGAAAACAATTAGGAAACAACAAAAACGGTTTTCAATGAACAAAGCCATCTTTGGACGAAAGTTAAGAATTGTAAAAGCTAGTGAACCGAATACCTCAGTTTCGCCTTTGAGACTGATGATCCAAGAGGAGATAATTGCATATGAGGTTTCCATGGTAAATATCGATTTCGATAAATTTCTTCTTTTTTACTAGTTGTAGATTTTGTGCTACCAGACACACTTTTGTGGTAATTAACAATGTGTGCATCCAGTAATTTTGAATTTCGCAACTGACGAGAGCAGTAAGGGCATGGGTAAACAACAGGTGCAGCTGATTTAACGGGAACTTTTGTAAAAATCTCTCTTGAATCAGGAACACTAGATACTTTTATTTGTGTTTCTCTTTTGTACAGTGTAGTTCGGCGTCGTCGTTCAGTACATTTAATTGACTCGGACAAACTTGATGAACTGTTTGAGAGATGAAATACCTTCTCTGACAATTTTCCTTCTTTCTTCAGAGAAAAACATTATACTGACATTATCATAAACAGAAGCAGTATATCACTAAAATATAATACGAAATCGGCAAAAAAAGATAGATAAAAAAACTACACTGGTACAATAAGCTCAATCTTTGACCATGAATAGATTTACGGACTTTTATATTAACTTTAGTTTACTTTTCACTTCACAAGATCAAGTAAAACTGAGCACTCGGTCTCTCTACACAGTGATTTACAGTTTCATTCTAGTTTATTTTGTCACATGAACATTGGTACAAAGGGGCGTTTAGATATTTATGCGCCACACAAATTAATGACTTTGTGAATGGGTTTGGATGCGGTCCGGGTCCCCAAATCGAAGCAGGTGGTTTTCTTGGAGACCTTTTCTCCGAGCCTTTGATAAAGAGGCCTAGTCCACAAGACAGGGGAGCAACGTCAGGAGTTATAGTCCCATGGTAGCGGAGACAAACAATAAGTTTGTTCTCCATTCGCTCCCTCGTGATTTTCCAACTCTCCTAGGTGGATCCTCCGTATACACCAATCCGGTCAAGACGCCGGACATTCACTTTTAATCCTTTTAGTTTCGTAAACAACACCTCAGCCACATGGACTGTAGTGATTTGTTGATTTATCTACATTTTACGGAAAAATATGACACATTATGAGAGGAAAGACAAATCCCATAATGGAGTTTCTTGCAAAAATTAAGAACCTGAAATCAGTCAGTCAGCTACAACGTAGAGGCGTTACACATATCAACTATTTGTCACACAGTTTAAGTAGAATTTATGAAGTTTAATAAAAATAAGTTCACTCTCCTTGAAAAGTTTTTATATGACTTAGTGCTGATCTCTTACTATAAAAGTTTTGCTGTCCTATATCACATACAGGCTATTTTGGAAGAATAAGAAAACATCCGAAACACAGTGGTAGGTCCCCAAACACCCTGGACGATCGAAAGAAAGGAGAGTATACTTTCTTGAAATACTCTCATATGGTCACTTTAAAGGAAGTCCTACACACTGCCTGCTGTTGACGGAGACAGGAGAAAAAGCTGGTTCAGGCGTTCTGATCGGATTGGTGTATACGGAGGATCCACCTAGGAGAGTTGGAAAATCACGAGGGAGCGAATGGAGAACAAACTTATTGTTTGTCTCCGCTACCATGGGACTATAACTCCTGACGTTGCTCCCCTGTCTTGTGGACTAGGCCTCTTTATCAAAGGCTCGGAGAAAAGGTCTCCAAGAAAACCACCTGCTTCGATTTGGGGACCCGGACAGTATCAAAGACCACATACAAACTAAATGATAACGATAACTAGAAAACGTTAAGTTCGCTTTAACCCTCACTCCCACAAATCGTACATAGGGTTATTCAATAACATTCCTTTTTATTTTACATTGCGTCACTATTTTATCTCATTATTTGAGTATTCCTTATTCTTCAACTCATACACAGCTCGCCTATCGCGGAAATCCTGTCTTATCAAAGCGATCCCAAGTCCCTGATTGGTCAGAATTAGAATACTACAACCGAATACGAGGTCTGAATCAGCCTTTCTGAAACCACGTATACCGTTCAAACTGGTCGCCTCCAACTTATGGAAACTGATACAGCCTGTAATTAGAGTTCTGAACCCGACCATAGCTGTTACCCTGATGTGGAGGTCAGGCTTACCTATCGTGATGACCCGATCGAGATATATTGGCTGAGTACTCCATGCCTGGTAGGTCGATTGGAGAATTATGAGAATAAAAGCAGCTACTCAAGGTCTGAAAGAAAAGTCGTACTGCTGACTGCAGAGGGATGTGACACCAGTAAGGTGTTTCACTCGGACAACCAGCATTTGCAGTGATGCTGTCTTCTCACACGGAAGGAAGGGTTAGGAAAGGTCGACCCTAAAGATGTCACACCTCACCATACATCACGGAATTCCGTCTTCGGCAGTAAGGCCTTTTAAACAAGAGCGGAGCTAACATTTTAAATACTTCTCACAAAAGTCACCAGCCGTTAATACTATATCAGAGCGTTTAACATTTTGAAGTTTAGGGAGGTTTCTATAAAACTTATCTTTTATGTCGTCTGAACTGCAGTCAGTGGGAGCGTAGGCAGATACGACGAACAGGCAACGCGAATGTCATCGTTGAGTTCGTACCGTCCAGTTTAGACTGAAAGAGACCAAGCGACTGTCTATCGGGATCCAGTCGAAGAGAGCTTGTTCTGCCCTACGACTCAATGCTATACATACACCAGCGAGACCCCAGGAACTAGCATCAGGACTTTCAGGTACACGAAGGGTAGATCGAGCTGTTTCTTTATCTTGACTTGATGACGTTAAGTGAATGACCCCACTCGAATCCTGTATGCGCGTTTCGGATACGCAACATACATCAATCACCTGAAATTCCAGAGTTCTAGCTAATGAAGCCTATTGTCCTATTTGGCATTGAGTTCGAACATTAAAAGCTCCAACTTGTAGTTTACAACGGGGCTTCAAGACACCAGGAGTGACGTTTCGGGAACTCGAATCGTTTGCAGCAGAGGTGCAGGGTGATGAAGGAATGTGAGAAGAGTTAGTCGTGAAGATAAGGGGGATGTTAGGGGGTGAATTAAGGATTTGTTTGTGAACAATTTGATCTCGTGAGTTGTCACGGGTATTAGGGAGGTTGTCACTTCCCGAGACGTCATAACTCTTCTAAATGACGACTTTCTAACTCTCAGAGCGGAGTTTATATGGTTTGAATTAATTATTCTTGTTAGCGTTTTTTAGCGAGTTAGTTTTTTTGTGGGATGGGGTCGTCAACCTCATGCGCAACCCTCCTCCTTTACCCTGGCTTGGGACCGGCAGCAACCCCGAAGGGTCTACAGGCGTTGTTTTTCGAGTTGTTCCTGATATATATATATATATATAAATATATATATATATATATATATATATATATATATATATATATATATATATAATGACGCATGAACAAAGTTCAGTAACCAAACACAATTAATAAACTTTTTCTGGTGCCTTTAAACTGTTACATAAATCAAATCACAAGGTCTAAGATTTATGGATATTTCGGAATTTTGTCCCAGCTACTGTGTATCTCAGTTTCAAAGACTTAAAAACACTTGCTAGAATTTATATTACAAAAATTAGACTTACTATTTCATCACTTTTCTGGTAAGATGAAATCGACGATACCGGTGGGGATGCTACTGTAGCTTCCGCTGTATAATTTTCGGTTCTTATAGAATTATGTTGTGAATTAAGACCACGCCTGTTCTGATGGTTTGACCTAATGGTGGATGTTTGACTCAAAACAGATACAGAACTGTCGAATCCATATGGACATGTGTCGTTCTCTTCGATAGCTTTTCTCTTCAATTCACGACGTCTTCGACAGGCTTCGTGAAACTGGAAAACACTCTTGTCATAAACCATCCCATCCTGTTCGATGATTCCATCAAATAATGTTGGAAGAAGAGTCTTTTTGTCTTCTAAGGCAGAGAAACCACTTGTACTTACACGAGTAGGACGTGACCGATAGCGATGTGTTTCAGGATCCGAAGTGCGGTCTAATGACTTGCTTTCTGACATAGTTGTCCTTATTCTTTTAGCTTGAGATGTCCCCGATGCAGAATCATTGCTACTACTACATGAATACTGCAGATCAAATTTACTAGGGATTTTATTTGTTGATAGTGTACCTTGCTCTTTACAGAATTTTAAAACATAATCGATTTCGTACTGAGTTGCTTTGCGTAACTTGCTGACGGGTGTCCATTCTACAACGCGATCCCAAATATAACGTAGGCGATACTCTGCTCTTGTACCATGTCGCTGACGATGGGCTAGAACCTCAGCAAGATATTCGAAGTCGTTGCGCCATGCAGCCATTACGTAACTACCCACCTCATAATGGGTATCACTGGTTTCTGGACTTTTCTCCATCGAATAGCTAAAAGTGTTAGGTTTTATCAGTTTTGGAGTATCTTTTGTGAAATCTTTTTTAACAGAGCGTAAACATTTCGAATTTATCGGATACCACGAATCATATCGAGAACTCCAATTACAAAAATGAACATGAACCTGGAGATGAAAAATGGATGTGCTTTACAAATAAATAATGCAAATCGTTTAAGGATTAAGAACTTATGTATCAACCTTCAAGCCAAAACATCTTCGAAGGTCCAATGAACCTACCCATCTGTTCAAACAAAGTAAGGAGAGCTGAATGAAAACAAGAGATCTAAATGACAGAGGTCAAGTCAGTCAGTCACAACGTAGAAGTCGTACGGACGAACATTGGTTCAAGCTGCCATACCACATTAAAAGAGAGATGCAACGGTCAGTTCAACTCCCACAATAGTAAAGGAAGTGGAAGTATTAACCGTAATCGGAGAGATCATGGTCTAAAGATATCAGTCAAGTGTTAGAATCTAGTGAAATATACTAAAAAGGATATAGATAGACGTGGTGTAGAATCCAGAGCATTAGAGTTTGAGAGAAGTTAAACAATGGATGCACCAGCACCATTCAAACGGTTTCGAGACATGTCATTCACTCTCTAAACATCGATCACTAACAAATCACGGATCCCAAAAAAGTAGTACACTTCTGTCAATATGGCTCAGTCCACTTGTCAGTTACTTCATGGATTTGTGCCATGTTTTGGTCTGGCCGTCCATAACTTTCTTCCAACCTACTCCTACACCACAAAACGTAGTTCGTCGAGGCAGTCGGTGGTTGGGCATTCGTAACACATGTCCCCACCATCTCAACTGATGAAGTTTCAATACTTCATCTATTGAGCTGCCACTCTGACCTAGCACTCGTTTCCTAATGGCAGCATTACTTACTCAGTTGCCCCACAAGACACAAGCAATGCTTCGAAGATATCTATGATCGAAAACAAGATACCTACTAATATCTTCTACTCTTACTGGCCATGTTTCACAGCCATAAAGTAAGACGGAGCGAACTACTGCACAGTACACTCGTCCTTTAGTCAGCAAACGGATATCTCGCCTACGCCATAAGTGACGCAACTTGGCAAAAGCCAATCGAGACTTCTGTATCTGTGCAGAGGTTTCGTCAGTCACCAGATATGTGAGGCGGTCTACACGTTCGACTACTTCACTCCCTATCACTAGTTCAGGTGCCGACACAAGCCAATCTTGAAGCAACATTTTGCATTTCGAGGGGAAAACCGCATACCGAACATACTCGCATTGTTGCTTAGGGTAGTCAGAAGACTGCATTTTGTCAGCTTCTTCACCAAGTAGGACTATGTCATTGGCATATTCTAAGTGAATAAGCGAGCCACCTGAAAGAAGGTCTACTCCTGAAAAGTTATATCTTGGATCCTGTCTATGATAAAATTAAACAAGAATGGAGAGAGTGGACACCCCTGACGGACACCACTTGAAGTAAAGAATTCCGATGACAGTTCGCCATAGGCTCTCACTCGACCAGTGGTGTTCGAGTAGAGAGAGTGCTTGTATAAGGTTAATGTACTTCTTTGGTACACCTTTCAATGACAGACACTGCCACACAACCTCACGATCCACTGAGTCAAATGCCGCTTTTAGTTCTAGGAACTCGACTATTGTCGGACGTCTAAATGTGTGCCTGTGTTCCAGGACCTATCGTGGTGTGAAAATGTTGTTTATACAGCCACGTCCAGATAGAAAACCAGACTGGTTTTCTCTAGTCTGCTGTTCACGAGCTCTAGTTAGACGTCTAAGTATAATCGAGGCTATTAATTTAGAGACTAAATTAGTTAGACTTTTTCCCCTGTGATTGTCACAAGAGGACTTTTGTCCTTTCTTGTAGATAGAGACAATTAGCAACTGAAACCAGTCAGATGGGATTACGTGCATTTCTCAGAATCTACCTAGTATCTCGGTCAGTCTAACTGTTAAAACTGGACCACCATCCTGAAGCATCTCAGGGGTAAACCTATCAGGACCTGCTGCTCTACTTCCCTTTAGATTTCCTATAGCTTTCTCAACTTCATGTAGACTGGGAGGACTTGCCATTCAGGATGACTGGGGATCGTGGCAAACCGAAGTGTGGCTCGAGGCCAGTTGAACTGATCCCTTAAGTGTTCTGCCCGTCTGTCCAGTCTCCTGGATTGAGAATGGATAATAAGACCATCCTTTTCCGAGATAGTCTCACTCACATTCGGGTTCCTTATACCGGTTTCTTTGATAAGGCGGAAAAGTTGTCTACTGTTGCCTATCGCCGCTGCCTTTTCCATCGCTTTCGCTTTCGCCACCCACCACTGTTCGCGGTCGATACGTAGGCTTTTTATAAGTCTGCGCCTAGGCTGACTACGCTCTTCATCATGTTCAGATTCGGGTGGGATGCGTTTTCGAGCATCCATCAGTTCGGTGGATGCAACTGAAATCCACGTCTTTATCCTAGCCTTGTGGTTTACCTTGCTAGCAGATATCACTGCTGTTTCCACAGCCTTTTTGATATCATTCCAACCTACCTCTGGATGGGAATAGCTTAATTGTTCGCCTGTTTTTCTAGTTTCTCCTGAAATATTTTCTTAGCTTGATTATCATTAAGTAAAGCCCTAAGAGGCTTCCTTTCGGTGTCTTTCCTACGTCCAGTAAGCCTCAAACAAATACGCGCTCGCACTAGGGCATGATCTGAACCTAAACATGCCTATTGTGAGAACCCGTCTGAGCTATAGGTCCTGCCATGCAACGCAGGTCGATTAGAGAACGGTAGGACCAAAAGCTGCAACTCAAGGTCTGAGGGAGGAATTATACTGATGACTGTAGAGAGGTGTGACAGTAGTAAAGTGTTAACCTCGGATAACCAGCATCTGCAGTGGAGCTATCTTTGTAGGTCACCAGAACTTGAGCGTGTTTTTGAAGTATATCTTGGGACCGTGGAGTAAGCAATGATGGTATTAGCAAAAGGGTACTAGATGAAGATGGCAAATCAATTGATGGAGTAGTGAGTGTTCATCAGGTGAAGTGGCTGGGACATGTGTTACGCACGCCCAACCACAGACCACCTCGACAAGCGATGTTGTCTGACAAGTAAACTGAGCTATGTTGGTTGATAGGGACTATCTAATTGGGGTCCGTGCGGCAACAGTAACCTCGTTTGCAATGGATCAGGTGCGTACATTATTTATCTTCTACCAAATTCTAATCTTCTGGATTCCTCATGAAATTTCTCTCCTCTTCCTAAATTTACTTCAATGGAACGAACTTTCCGAGTCATATCTTAGCTTCGTGTTCTCTACTTTAATCAAATCTAATCTACATCTATACACTTTTCGACAGTTGTTTATGTTACCATACAATATAACAATTACATTGTTGTCTTACCTTGCTTCTGTCGACTTCAAGGACCTTCACAGGGTACCAGTTTCCATGAGAATCTTTTGCCTCAAGAAATGTATCTTTGACAACTTCTCCACAGATATTTCTTAGCAACAGACTGCCTTCGCCTCTAGACATATTGTAGAAATCACAAGTAGCAACCTAAACATGTCGACACTTCGAACAATATCGAATTTTCCCGCCATTCGCTGTAGCAACCAATCAAATCCGTGCGCTCATAGGGAGATGTCTGACAGTGGTCATCACTGTAAGGCGTTATCGATACTACATGTTTTTTGCGTTTCATTTTGTTCATTTAAGAGTTCCGTTATAATCAGTGGTGTTTAAAGTGACTTATATCTACTCATTTTGACTACGTTTCATTGACAATGTTATTTCATGAGGGCTGTATCAAGTTTCATCATGTCTAGATATTAGTGATTAGGTTATGCGTAAATATCCAAGTTTAGAATGCTGCAAATAATCAGTTCATGTTTTCTAATGTTATGTACTGGTATCTCAATCTATTGTGTCTTATTAGTATTGTGATAATCGTTGGTTCTACCACTGAAACTTACCAAATGATAAGATGTGGTTCTCTTTAGATTTTTTCGTTTGCTAACCCTTCGCCTCATTTCAGTTCTTGAAAGTTATCGATCATGTAAACAAATATTCCAAAAACCATTTTTTGGTTTGTTAGTATGTCACGAACGTAGAATGAACTGTGAACAATTGTGTGTCTGAATTTTTGTAACCGGGTATTGAACGCGTCGATAAAGTCTATTGTATAAAATGTAATCCAATTGACTAAAGGAACTTTTGCTATTCTTTGGAATATCCCTTACCTGAGCTCTTAGATTTGCTCAGGAACGGTTATCAAACAATTTGAGATTAGTTATTCTAGTCTTAGGTTGAAGGACTGACCAAATTAAAGTTTTGGAAAAACAGATCGAGGTTTATTTTGTTTATAGCATTTCAGCATTTAAGGTAATCTTCAATAAAATTATTTGACCAAGTATATCATATTTTTCCTTTTGCATTTCAAAACGATTTTCAACTGTTTGAGTTTGACAACGCCCGTGATCATAGCACGTTTCTAACTGAGAGTATAGAAACCCAGTCAAACCACAATTCTGGGATACAGGAGATGCAGAGTACTGTATTGTGCAATAATATATCGAGCGCACATGGCTTATCCCAGCATCTGGATAAGCCAATCGATAGTTTCTTTTCCAGCTATTATTCACATATCATTTGACCCTGTGAATCATTCGCGTACAATCTTGATCGTTTTACCTGTAGTGCGAGTGTGCATTGCTTACCCTGCTCACGTGTCTAGCTTGTTCTTGTCTGACTATATATATTTTCGATTTTCCAGTTCATTATAAATATTAAATCATGCCTCATCGCATTGAGCTGCCCACCTAGCTCTGCCTGCATGAACGATTGCACGAAATAAACTCATCTTTCTCAAGCTGCATAGTGCTTCTAACTACCCCCATCGCATAACGGAGGTCTGCCTACTAATCATATTAAAGGAAATTAAAGGAAAGGTTTATTTCATGACATATTCAGTCGCTCGTACAAAATGGAGTCAGATGACGGACCACTAAAGAATGAAATATGATGGTTGGGATGTCTAGAGGAGCTTGATCTCAGCCAGCTAGTTGATGCGGTGGTATGCACAGCATGGTGCATATAATGGTGACCTCTTGCAGATGCGTGACCGTGCGCCTTCAGTTAGAATGTGCGCGCCAGAACTAATGAGGGTAGTAACAATGTCGTGGACTTACGGAACATTTTAGGCCCTTATTTACTGCAGCAGATATAATATTACGATTCAGATTATTGTGAGAATCCATGTGTTGAAACGAATTGTTGTGACCTTACTTACCATGTATTTATTAATTACCGAAATGCCACAAGATGATAATCCATGTTATCTTATGCACTCTAAGTTCCATTGATGATACCTCAACCTAAGAGTTAGCAGTCAGTTCGCTCTTTATCTAATGACTGAACATACGACTGTAAATAGCTGAAACAGCCTAGCTGTTTGCAGTCAACGAAATGTAGTTATGTTGACAAAACTCAAATAATGTCTTTGCACGGAAACGGCAGACGTGGGACGTGGTAAAACGTCTGAACAACCATAACAACACAATTCAGACAGCACAATGACCAGCCGCTTTTACAGGCATAATCAATCCCACAGAACAAGGGTTAATGTAGAGAGTGCCAGTCAACTAAGGTTATAAAAAGGCTACATGTATGGGCATAGGAATTTCCACGGCGAAATGTTCTCGAACACTTACCAGAGACGTATTTGTGGAATCGAATAGCCTAATATATCCACAACGGTTATGAAATGAAGGTTACTCTAGGCTTGATATAAGCTGTGTCGTGGTTCATAGGTGGTTGGTATTTTACGGACGAAATAGCATTTATCAGCTCATAGAGACGTATTAGGTTGTTTTTCATTCGACGCGGATGTAGGGGTTGCAGGGAAGATGTGTAGTGTAGTCTAGGTTGTGGTTCCGTCCGAGGAGTCGCCAGGTGAAGCTTCTTAGGAGGTTTTCTACTCGTATCTCGTCCATGAGATTCATGTTTGAAAAGATAAGTGAGCAATATTCAAGTGAAGGCTTTATACACATTTAGAAGAGTGTAAGCTTAGCCTCACTTGTCACGAAGTTCTTACTTATAAACCCAGTTAGTCTTCTGGATTTAGAGATATACGGATTTTAGGCTTCTGGATAAACAGGTACCCAGATCATGTGCTGATATGAATATCTGAACCCTAGATTTTCGTAGGAAGAGTGGTATATCATGGTAATGCTTACTAAAATGCATGATGCCACATTTATTACCGTTAAAGGGCAGTTGCCATGTTTCGCTTCAGGTAGTTAAGTTATCAAGATCACTTTGAATCTTAGCTATATCTTCGTCTAGATCTTCAGGCTTATAGCTGTATACTATTTTAAGATCATCAGCATATAGGTATGATCTTCCAAATCTTATAGTACTACATATATCGTTTATGCACATCAGAAACAAGAGTGGACCTAATAAACTTCCCCGGATAACTCCACTGGTTATTGAACTTGGTGATGAAAGACAATCGTTGTATTTAACCATTTGTTGTCGCCCATTTAGGAATGAAACAAACCATGAATATAGTGGGTTACTGATTCCGAATGATTTTAGTTTCAGGAGAAGCCTTCTGTGTGGTACCTTATCAAAAGCCTTCTTAAAGTCGAAGAAAAGGACAGATACTAGAAGTCCTTTGCTTTTTTTATGAGGATATCATTTAAATAATCTAGCAGGCATGTGTCACACGACCTAGACCTCAAGAACCCATGATGTGAGGTCGATATTAGATTGTCATTAGGTAGATGTTGTATTAAGTCTGCCTTAACTACTTTCTCCATCACCCTAGGCACTACTGAAATTATGTTTATGGGTCGGTAATTTTCAACGTTCGCCGTAGGCCCAGATTTAATTGTGGGGATGATATATGTAGTCTTCCAGTTATTAGGGTGACACTCTGTAGAGAGTGATATGGTAAATAGTTTAAGAAAATAGAACACAGATCATCGCTCCCATTTTTCGGCATGCTGGCTGGGATACCATCCGGTCCTTGAATGTAAGAGTGCTTCGATATACTAGTCGCCTTAGAAATGTTCTATACACTAGAGTCAACACTGGTGATTTCACAGGAAGGAATTTGGGTCAAGTGTGATTAGTTTGTTAATTTAGCACAAAAATGATCGCTAAATGGCTCTGTGATACTTTTAGGGTCCTCATACACTTGGTTGTCCTGAATAAATATGCTCCCTCCTTTCACTTTAGAACATTTAAGTCTATTTCGAAGGAGTTTGATAAGTACAGAAGACTCATTGTTCAGCTGAACAGCACGCTTTTCCTGTGCAATTGCATTTTGGTACGTATTATCGCTGCCTCGAAACATATTTCAGTCATCGTTACTAATGAGGCGACGTCATTACAGTTATGAAGTCTGGAAGCATGTCTTCCAAGACGTTTCCGTATGTGACCTGGCATACATAAGTCTTTAGGAATTCTGGGTCTGCAGGATCCTAAGGGTGAAAATTTATTGAATATATTATTTGTGTTGTGATAAACGACATTTTTAGTTCATCGGTATTGTTTGAGGTAAAGTAGTTAGTCCAGTCAATGCTTCTGAGGCAATTCCGTAAGTTCGCCCAATCAACCCTACGAAAGTCCCTACGAAGTGTAGTGGATTTATGTTTTATAATTGTAGCTCCTATATCAAGGCTGCATATGACCATATTATGATCGCTACCTGGGAACGTTTTTGCAACATATACAGTGTGAGGAATGAGATTGCTGGTGAAAACTAAATCCAATATATTTTGATATCTGGTTGGGCCGTTAACGTGTTGAGTCCATTGTCCAAGCCCTAAGTGTTACGGGAGAAACGAAGACATTTTGCTGATCAAACCCTTCATGTATAAATATCATTAATTCCACTGTTTTTGGGTACATTTGTTTTACTTAACTTGTGAACTTGTTTGAATTATTATTTGCGGACATTTCGGACTCCCGTTTCTCTTGGTTGTTCGTTTGCAGTTTTTTGCTCCAAGAGCCAATAAAATAGAAGAACGAAATTGGTCGTCTATTTGTAATAAAGTATTTTGGTCGAATTTGTGATTTGGAATAAACTTTGGTATCTACTTTGGAGTTTCGTTCTTGGTTTAAACATTTGGGATCGTGAATTGCAAATAGTTCGACAACCGTGCTTCGTAGGATCAATGGGCAAAAAACTGGACGTAACACTAAGCATTCAATAAATGGTTCAAATAGTTTAGGTGCTTTGATTGGGAACCAAGAGATTTTAGGCACGTTGAAGTTCACACGTAGCCTTGCTTGTAAACGATAGGGATGAAACAATCATGAATACTTCTGAAAAAAATGCTAGATCTTCTGTTGGTGCGTTGGGTTGACGGTAGACACAGTCGAACAGTAAGGAAACTGCATTTAAGAGTTTCATGCGAGACTGACAGTAGCATAATCGTACGCATCACCTGCATACATTGATTAGCAATACCACGAAAGTGTAGGAAAGAGTTAGAAAGGTACATTTCATACTACACACAGTTTTCGACTTTCTTTCAGAGAAAACTGGTTAATATTACATGCTGACAACTAACACATATCCAGAAGTTTGGAAAAA